TGCTGATTGGCTAGCTGGTTTTTGAAGGGAAAGTTGAGGAGGGGAGAGTGGCAACGAGAAGGGGACGGCAGCGGCGATGCTGCAGGGCTGAGCGAAGCGACCGTAGGACGCTAGAGGAAAAGCTCGCTCTTTCGGATGAGAACTTTGAGGCGTGGATGGTTTCCCTTCACTTACTTTCCATGATAAACGTTTGCTCTTGTGGGGCGGGGATGACGCTTTGTACTGAGACGAAGAAGAAGAGGGTTAAGGGGAGCAGGTACTTTAGGTGCAAAAGACGGGAGTACTGCAAGAAAGTGGGTTTCTGTAGCGGCACATCTTTCAAGCGCTCTAGATCGAGTTTAAAGGATGTTTTCTGTCTATATGCGTATTGGGCCAAATACAGAAGGCTCACATACGAAGATAGAGCAGCGGAAATGCTCCGTGAAACGGGGAGCAAACTAGGCTCTCATACTTTAATTGAATACATGAAGTATTTTAAAAATTTTTGCACGAAACATTTCCTAAGGCACCCTTTGAAGATCGGGGGCCCTGGTAAGGTAATGGAGATTGACGAGGCACTCTTTACCAGGAGAAAGTACAACAGAGGTAGCGTCATAGAGAAGCAGTGGTGTTTTGGGGGCTTGAGCGAGGAACCAATAAGTGCTTCGTCGTTCCAGTGGAGCGACGGGATGCTGCTATCCTTCTGCCACTGATCAGGCAGTATGTTGTTCCAGGAACAACTATAGTGTCTGATCAGTGGGCTGCATACAGTACCTTCAAGGACATGCCAGAGGGATACCAGCATAAGACTGTCAACCACAGTCTGCACTTGATCGATCCTGAGGCCGGTGCTTACACAAGCAGCACTGAGTCTCTATGGCAGAAATTTGGGAAGAGCCATAAGTAGCAGTATGGGACGGAAAGGGCACTACTGAAATCGTATATGGACGACTTGGTATGGAAAAAGATGTATGGGGGCAAAACGCTGTACCACCTCTGGTCTCAAATGCTGGAACACTATCCACCGCCCCCAGGTTCCGTTTGAAAGTGCGGAATTATCTTTCGGCTCCTGATCGGTCTGCCTTATGAAAGTCCAATTTTTGAAAAGTCCTTTGTATAAGGGGCGCTAATGCGGCTTTTCTTCCACGTTTTATAATTAAAAAAATATATATATATATATAACAGTTAGTAAGACCTTATAATAAGCTTAGCTTTTGTATTTTAGTTCCTGAAATGGGCTTTTTCAAAGTTGTTTGAGCGGAGTGTTTTAGGAGACTTAAACGACTGGGGTCGTGGTAAGGTTGTGAAGG